CAAAATACCTGACACCCAAAGTTAAAGGGAGAGAGGTTTATTTGTTTCACAGTTATAGAGGTTTCAGTCCATAGTCGGCTGGCTCCAAGGCAGGGTGGCTGAGGGGCAACAGCTCATGGCAGTGGAAGCCAGCAAAAGCAACAAGGGGCCTTGACAGCATCTTCTGCCCCTTCTATCTTATTCAGACTACTTAGGGTGGGCAGCACTCACACCCTTAACCCCAGTGCCCTCGGGCCTAGCACTTCACGTTAATTAATCACACACTCTAGATTCAGCCACTCCTCGTTGCCATGAGGCCTTGGGGGACATCTAGACGCAAGGCATAGCGGTGGCTGTGTCCCTCCAGCCCGCTGCCATCTGTCATCCCCAAGAAGAACGCACTTTCCTTTCCTTTCATCCCAGAGCATACTGTTCGCACCTCCATCTAGTATTTATCTCATTTGCAGGCGACTTATATATTTTTTGTTTTTGTCTTTGTTTTTGTATTTTGATACTGGGGATTGAACTGGGGACCTTGCACTTGCAAGGCAGGTGGCGGCACTGAGCTAAATGCCCGGCCCAAGTCTTAATTGTTTAGAAGCCTTTCCCCTCTGGATACCAGCCCCTGCAAGGAAGGGACCTGGCCTTCTTGACACTGGGTCCCTCACCTGTACACTTCTGCCCACCAAGTGCGGATGCCCGGGAGGCCTTGGTGCAGGCCAATCGACTCTCGCCTTTCTAGCTTTCTTCTGCCTCTCATCCTCGCAGCTGGGGCTGCCTGCCAGGTCTAGCAAATGAAAAGAGTAGAACCTGAACTGCACATAAAGAGCAAGTAAGTTTTTTTTTTAATAGTATAAATACTTCCTGTGCAGCATCTGGAACATGCTAATACTTGAAAAAGAATCTGTTGTTTATCAGAAAACTAACAGGACATCTTGGGTGTAGATGGCAACCACGACCCAGGGCGGAGCAGCAGTTAGAAGTGAGGCAGGTGGGTGGCGGGTGGGAGGGTACACAGTGACCTGGCAATGCTCGGCACACAGCTCCAGACTGGTGCAGAAGGGGCCTCGCCCACTGTCTGCAGTCCCTGCCTTCTGTCTGCTCCCCGTGCTGTGAAGAGCTCCCCAGTGTACCACCAGGGCTCCGAGTACCCCGTGGAGCGCTCGATGATGCCGTGGGTCACCTCGGAGGGGACACTGGCTCTCCTCCTAGCACAAGCCCTTCGACTTCTGCCTCCCTCCCACCTGACACCACCTGACAGCTTGTGCCTAGGCTGCTCCACATACAGAGCTCAGGATGCAAACCCCCAGGGACATCCGGCTTCACACCTTTGTGTGTGCGAAGTGGGCGGCACGGGTATCAGGCGGAAGTGGAAACAGCTGTGGAGCAAAGTGGGAAAAGCTGGGTCTGGAGCTCCCGCTTGGATCTGCAGCAGAACTCCCAGAGGTGCTCGCTGGCTGCAGGCAGGAAGGGCAGGTGCAGTCCCGCATCTCTCCACTGCCCCCAGAGGGAGAAATGGATCTCCATGTGCCACACGGTCCTCGGCTGGCTGCCCGAGGGGGTCAGGGACTGCTTGGTGGGACCCACGGCCCCTCCTGGTGACCTACACTCCACCACGGCAAAGGCACCATCTGAACAGGGAGATGAGAGGGAATATATCGAGACACTATGCTGGGGACAGAGCGGGCCACTTGTGAGCACTGAGGTGGGATGCTGGGGACTCCTGCCACGCTATGAATGCCACGTGTAGATCCCCAAGTGGTACCTAAGCAGCCAGCCGGATTCATGGTCTAAGCTGGTTCCGTCAGGCAGTTCTTCGCTGGGGCCCAGCACGGGTCTGGAAGCACCTGAAGTGGGATGAACTCGTGCGCCTATGCCCTGTGGAGGGGGAGGACGTTTCTGCCGGATTCACAGAGGGGTCTGCGGCCCCCGGAAGGCCCAGAGCCGTGGGTGCAGATGCCAGAGAAGCAGCTTTCCTCTGGCAGACTTGGTGGGCCTGGGCCTTCCAGGGCCCTGGAGTGGGGCTCAGTCCCAAAGTGAGCCCCTCACACTCTCTGCCTTCCAGAGCTGCTTGCAAGGGGTCCCATGGCCTGGCAGGCTCTGATCGCACTGGCAGAGGACCGGGCACAGAGCAGCTCATCAGCAGAGCACAGCCCCCACGGGACGGTCCTGAACTGCCAGCCCGTCCACCGTGCAGTCCAGGGTCCTCTCCTCTAAGTACACCCGGTCACTCGAGAGAAGCGAGCATCAGGGAGAGTGTGGAGCAGCTCACACCCTCACAGTCACCCCACGGCAGGAGTCCTGTGCAGATCTTCTGGGTCTGGAGCAGTTAAGGAACCCGCTCAGAGGTTCAGCCAGGATTCAGTGCCATGCAAGATGTCCACTCTAGGCTCTTTCTCTGTATCTTCCTCCCTGTCTTTTTCTTTTCTTTCCTTTTTTCCAGACAGGGACTTCCTAGTTCAGGCTGGCTGTGAACGCACAGTGCTCCTCCTGCCTCAGCCTTCTGAGTACTGGGACTATAGCGTTCATCCCCATACCTGCTCTACGCCATCTTACATAGCTCCAAGAAGTGCTACTGCACACCAGAGACAGTTAGAACTCTGTTCTTTTCCTATAGGCACCATCACGTTAGAATCAGCAACTGTGATAAGCAGTAAGTCATGAAAATGGATGCCATTAGAAGTCATCACGGGGTACAAATGGGCTCACAGAGATGCCACAGCCAACGGCTCAAAAGCTAACTTCCAAGGGGCTGATCCAGCCCCTCCCAGCTGCCATCCTCAGCATCCTTGGGGCTGGTTTTCAGGGCTCACCCCCACATCCGAATCCTCACACACGTGTCCTTTCATAAATGGCAGCATAGAACCTATGCACAGATTCCTGCAGACTTTATTAAGTGTCCTCTACATTATTTCAAGGCCCAGTACAATGGTCAATGCTATGTAAACAGCTTCCTTCCATACTATATTGGTCAGGAGCAGTGACAAAGAGAAAGTCTGACTACATCTGCGACAGATGAAGATAGTTTTTTTCACGTTTCCAATCTGCGGTTGGTTGAACCTACAGACGTGGAAACTGTAGGTGTGGAGGGCTGACCGTGTCGGGTGGTGATGTCTCATGTGGACAAGTCTGGCCGCATTCATGACCACCCAAGACTAGGACGGCCCCACCTTGGTATCCCCTCCCGACAGGGGGAAATGGGCCCTCCCACAGCCAGGGAGAGGAGGGGATGCAACATTCCTTTCTTGTGAGATTCTGTGACTTGGGAGGGGGTGGGGGGTCAGAGCGGAAGAACGGGAAGAAAAGTTCTGATTTGGAAGTTTCCACTGGCTTTCAGACCCCCTCCAGCTCATCAATGAGCTCTTTCAGGGTTCCCTCTCCCCGAATGAGTTACCATTTCCTGTCCAGCACACTGTACCCATTGATGGGATATCGGCAGATCCTACCAGTTTATGCTGGACAGGAATTGAGACGGGAAGAGGAAGAAGGCAGGAGGGCAACGAGCGGCCTTCAATCCCATCTTCAGTGGGATATTCAGTCCCGTACAGCTGAGTTTCTACAGGGAAGTAGAAACAAGAGGGGTCTGTGATACAGGAAGCCGGCTCACTCCTGGCTTGTCTCATAAGTAGAACAGTAGGGACAATGAGATAAAATCAGGCTTTAGGGAGCAAATGTGCAGGCCCGCCTCCCCAAGACAACCTACCAGCAGAGGCTTACGAGGCAAGGGGGCAGGTCCTAGTTGTGAAGGTTAGGAGTGGTTGTCTCTTCTTCCTGGGCCTAAACCAGATCTATCTGGTTTCAGATTCAACCAACAGTGGATCAAAAATATTTGACACTTTTTATCTATACTGAATATTCATAGACGTTTTCCTTGTTATTGTTCCCTAAACAATACAGTATAACAGACTATCTACATGGCATTTTGCATTCTTGTAGGTATTATAAGCTAACATCATGAGGAAGAATCTAGAATATCTCAGCTTTCCCTGCCTGGTAGTAGAATTGCTGCCCAACTCATAGTGGTTCTCCCTTCTCTGGTGCGGTACTTGCCACTGATACACAGGAACGGGCCCCTTCTGGCCACTTTTGTGCTGTGACCTATCCCTGGCCATTCTGATTGGCCCAGAGAAGTCACCTGGTCAAAGTCAGGCCAAGTGAAGTCTTCCCTGAAATTTATCACTTTGGAACTAGGAGAGAGTCAGCGTCTTAGCTGTTGGGATATGAAATCCAAAAGCTGTGACAGCCAAGTTCTGCAGTGTGTGAGGTAACAGAAGCTGAGGCCAGTGCCACAGGGAAGTAGAAACAAGCCAGGGGGAGAGCTGATTCTCATTTCAGTTGTGCCCAAAGCCCACTGCCTCCCTGCCCCTCTCACAATCTGGTTGACTGAATAAGGTTTCCTGTTGTATTTTTGCTTTAGCCAGCATGAGTGGAAAACTGTCACTTGCTACCAAAAGAAGCCTAAGTAAATGAGCTGGTATTAATGGGGTCTCTGCAATGGTAAATGTGGGATGTGCACTGTCACCCTCCTGTGGGAACACACTTCCGTGAAACGGAGACACAAGTCCACTGTACACATGTTCGAACTGGGTGGCAAGTGCCTTATTTGGTTAAACAGACACAGTGGTATGCCCAGCTTGTGTCTGCAGTTTGAGCAATTGCTTATTTTCTGTTTCAATCTTCTCTGTGTGTTTGCTTTCCTTTGCCTGAAATGCTGTGGCGGCTTGTGTGTCATCTTGGATGTTTACAGACATGTCTTCTCAGGCACACAGCACCCGCTCCATCCTCTGCCTCTCCACCCCCCAGGGAAGGAGGGTGACAGAGATGACTGCGGAAACCATCCGGGGGAGCCAAAAGCCCCGAGTGTCTGCATGCAACACTCAAGACAGAGGCAGGCCCAACTCCTCCACGGAGCCTCCCTCATTCTCCCCTGCACCAGCCTGGATTCTGGCCCTGACAGCTCCAATGAGAGGGGCCAGCTCCCAGAGTGACTCAGGCCACCACCTGAGATCCCGCCAACTCACCTGCAGGTCAAAGAACTTGCTGTACCTCCGGTAGATGGTCTGGGAAGTAGAGTCGGACCAGGTCACGTTGATAATGTAGACCTGTGGGAAAAGGTAAGAGCAGGTGAGCAGGTGAGCAAGGCTGGGCTTTGAGCTGTGACTGCAGAAGCACGCAGCTGAGCCATTCTTTTTCTCCTCCCATCTACCCCAGGCCTAGTGCAGAGCTGGGTACCACGGAATCTATAGTCTATGTCTAAATACATAAACACGCTTCGAGAGGAGCATTCAATAACATGCCGGGGATTTAGCTCAGTGGTTCCGCCACCTGCCTCGCAAACGCAAGGTCCCGAGTTTGATCCCGGGTACCAAAAAATAAAATAAAATAAAATAAAATGCTAGGGTGATTAGCTTAGAATGGTAGGATTAAAGCAAGTGGTTTTAACTTCCTTCTTTTTATGATATATTTGTTTTTGTTTTTTTAGGTAGCTAGTTTTCATAGGTTCTCAAACTTTATAGTGAATGTGATGCCACAGGGACCTTTCAAAATTATAAGTGCCTGGGCCCCACTATGTGAAACCCTGCAAGAGCAGATCTGGGTCTGCGGAGAGCTGACAGCTCCATTTTTAACAAGCCCAGGTCATTTTGCTGCAGTGCATCCTCAGAACTCATTCTGAGCAACACTGGAGCAGACCAGAAGCATTTCGGAGATGTGTGATTTGTCCTAGTTGCTCTGATTCTATGCTCAGTGCCGGACACAGAGCAGATGCTCAGAAATACTGTACTACGGTGAACAAGTAAACTGGGCCTCTGAGACAGGAAGCAGACCCGCAGCTAGGAAAGCTTTTTTTTTTTTTGAGACAGGGTCTCACTATGTAGTTGAGACTGAACTGGAACTCACTATGTAGCCCAGGCTGGTCTCGAACTCACAGCTATCCTCCTGCCTCAGCCTCCTGAGTGCTCGGATTATAGGCGAGCACCACCACGCTGGGCTGGAAAGCTCTTCTCTTTAGGTCCCTTTCAGTGAAGGTGTTTTGGGGCCATGCTGTCGACTTTCCTGCAGGCTCTGGGAGCAACTGCCTCGGGCCACTCTGGAGGGCTGCCTGGCCCAGCAGCCACTGGGAAGGATAGAAATCTGGCCTGCTGTGGCCACAGTGCTCAGCCGGAGCTGGAGGGACAGGCGACTGCCACAACTGCAGGGCTATTCTGCTGTGTCCTCCTGGAGCCCAAGGTCCAGCATGTGTCAAGGAATAGCACAGAAGGGACACAGGTGAGGGGTGGGAGAGGCAGGCTGTGGGTCCCCAAGCTGGCTCCTGAGCCTGGATGCCCATGAGAATGACCGGAGAGTACAAAAATGCAGATCCCTGGGCTTTTGCCTAGTGATTGTGATCCCACAGGGCTGGGGGACTCTACCAGGGAGAACAGCAAAGCGGAGGAGCCAGGGTCTGGGCCATAGAGAGAAGGAAGCACACGGGTGACAAGCAGTAATATTTATTTCACAGAACTAGAGAAAACACTACACAAATTCATTGGGAACCAGAAGAGACCCAGAATAGCAAAAGCCATTCTAGGCAACAGAGACACGGCAGGGGGTATCACAGTTCCCACCTTGAAACTACACTACAAAGCCAAGTTAAAAACAGCATGGTACTGGCAAACAAACAGACCCGAGGATCAGTGGAATAAATTAGAAGATGCAGAAAAAACTCCAGGCGTACTTAGCCACCTCATCTTTGACAAAGAAGCCAACCATCCTCCCTGGAGGAAAGATAGCCTCTTCAATAAATGGTGTTGGAAAAACTGGATTTCAACCTGCCAAAGATTAAAACTACACCCCTTTCTTTCACCATGCACTGAACTAAAATCCAAATGGATTAAAGATCTAAATATTAAAACAGAAACACTAAACTTGTTGGAAGATAAGCTAGGTAGAACTCTTGAAGATATTGCCATAGGAAAAGTCTTTATGAACAAATCCTCAGCAGCACGGGAACTAGCAGAAAGAATCAACAACTGGGATCTCATTTTTTTTTTTTTTTTTTGAAAAGCTTCTGCACTACAAGAGAAAGCACCAACAGAGCTAAGAGACAACCTACAATGTGGGAAAAAACTTTTACCAGCTGTTTCTCAGACAAAGGTCTACTATCTAGAATATATAAAGAACTCAAAAAAATGAAGCCCCCCAAAATATAAAGACCCACTTCAAAAATGGGCATCTGAAATGAACAGACATTTTTCAGACAAAGAAGTAAAATCGGCAAATAAATATACGAAAAAATGCTGAACATTACTGGTCACTCAAGTGATGCAGATGAAAACAACACTGAGATTCCACCTCACCCCACAAAGAATGGCTGCTATCAAGAAATCAACCAATAACAAACGCAGGCAGCGATGTGGGGAGAAAGGAACCCTTCTCCATTGTTGGTGGGAGTGCAGACTGGTACAACCACTGTGGAAATCAATGTGGAGATACCTCAAAGAACTAGGATTGGAAGTCCCATTTGACCCAGCTATTCCTCTGCTGGGTATCTTCCCAAAAGAATTAAAGGATTCACACCACAGTGATATATATGCACCCACGTTTATAGAGGCACAGTTTGTAATAAAACCTGGAAACAGCCCAATTGCCCATCAACTGGGGACTGGATAATGAAGATGTGGTTCTTTTATAAAATGGAGTACTACTCAGCCATAAAAAATGAGAAGCTAGAGACATTTATAGCTAAGTGGATGTACATTGAGGATACACTCTTAAGTGAAATTAATAGGACACACAATGTGTAAATACCAAATAGTTTCTCTGGTGTGATAAACTAAAAGTGTAAAAAGGGTCAACATATATAATTGATATTTTATAATAGGAAAATTAAGTCTAAAGGTATTGGGCAAATGGGAGGGGTAGGGGAAAGGTGAAAAGAGAACAGAAAAGGAAAACAATGGAAGCAAAGTCTTTGTAAATAGGGGAGGGTAGAGGGGGTAAAGGGAGGGCAGTAGAAAGGGGAAAAAATGAGAACCAAGACCTGTCATGTAAAGGTACAAGATCCCAATGATGAATGTAACTGTACTGTACATCTAAGATGTACAATAAAAATATTTTTAAAAAGCAGTAATATTTAGACCCCCGGCCTCAGACTGGCCAAGCTCCCAGCAGCCTGGAGCAGGGTCTGCACAGGAACTGGGCTTCACTCACGGCTGCCGGAGCCCTGACTCCAGCCCCTCCTCCCCTCCCTTGCTTAGTCAGCCACAGCTCTGGGCCTTGTTTGCTCTGAAATGCAAGGAGGTTTACAATACAAAATCCTGACGAAGAAGAACATTAAGCAAAAGGCCACCCTCCCTCACAAGCTCCAAATTAAGGGCTGACATTACAATAAATAAATAGGTAAATGTGCCTCTCATACAATAAGTTGCAAAGCCATTTTGATAGCTAACTATTAGCTAATGTTTAGGTAACTGTTGGTGGCAGCGCAGTATAAATACCTGTGCGCATTAGATCATTTCATCTTCAGCCCCATTAAGTATCTACCGCTGTTTCTCCTGTGGTACAGAAGGAAGGTGAGGCTCAGAGAAGCAAAGGCACTGGGGTGAGGTCACACAGTTAACAGAACATAGGGCAAAAGAGTTGAAGCCAAACTAGCTGAGTCTACTCACGTTCTCGACCACACTAAACATCTTGGTCTGTTTTCTGCTGGGTAAATTATAAATAATAGACGTTTATTTGGTTCTGGAAGGGTGGGAATCCCAAGAGCATGGTGTCAGCATTTGGCAAGGGTCATCCTGGGTAGGTCTGAGGGTAAAGGGGTACAAGAGACAGAGCGGAAGTGGGCCCAGCACGCCCCTTTCTTGAATGCCCACTCCCACACTAGCAGCCTGGGTCCACCTGGGAGTTCACTCCGAGCTCTCCCGACTCATCACCTCTTACAGGCCTCATGTAGGATCATGATGGCAATTAAGTTTCAGAGAGCCACCGGACTTCGGCCTATATGCAAATTTAAGACTGGACATCTAAATCAAACCATTTGGCCAGGGCTCAAGAGACATCTTTTAAATTTTTTTTTCATTGAGTTTACTGGTACATTTAGGTCTACAGTACAGTTCCACTCATCACTGGGATCTTGTACCTTCACATCACAGATCTTGGGTCTTATTTTTCCCCATTCCCCTGCCCTCCCTTCACCCCCTCCACCCTTCCCTATTTACACAGGCTTTGTTTCCATTTCTTCCTTTTCTCATATTTTTTTTCCCTTCTTTCCTTTCTCTCCCCACTTCCCCTACACCTTTAGCCCTCTTGTTACTGTTTCACATTATCAATTATACAATTTGGATCTTCCTTACACTTTTTGCTTTTCACACCAGAGAAACTATTCGGTATTTACACACACATGTCCTACTTATTACATCTTTTAAATTTAAAACAAAGCTCTGGGTGGCCTGAAAAGTCTGGATGGCCCTCGCTCAGGGAGTGGCCTGGAGAAACACTGGCGCACAGGCAGCTCTGGGGCCCCAGGAAGAGACAGAACCTGGGGCAACTACACAACTAGACCGACACAGAGGACACCCTCTCACAGGTCGGAACCCACCCCGTCTCCCTCCCTCCCTCCCGCTCCAACTTTGCCCTCTGCTCCCTCTCCAGGACCCCTCTCCAGGTGCTGCCTCCCGAAAGCAGGGAGGCCCCAAGTGGCCCAGCCCATCCGAGGGAGTGGGCCTGCTTTCTTGCAGTAATTAGGGACTTCCCTTTACCTCCCAGAGAGAATTAATCACAGGCTCACAGTTCCTGGTAGCTGGGAGGACTCAGGGAGTTCGGGGGTTGGGAGCTGTGGAGATGGAACCCAAGGCTCACTCATGCTGAGAGGCTTCTTCCTGGGCAGAGGAGGAACTTCCGGACACTGACCTGGGGCCAGCAGGGGATGGCCAGAGAAGAAGGGGGAATTCTGGAGCTGCACACATGGATCCTGCTTATTGGCTGTGGGAGCCCAGCCCACCTGTCAGGCCCTTGGACTCCTGCTCTGTGCAGCAACCCTCCCCTCCAGGGCAGCTAGTCTGACGTGTGTGCTGTTGTTACTGTAGTGTGATCACCCAGCCAGAGCTGGGTAGGAACCCAGGCCTCCTGATTCCCAGGACCATCACGCATGTGACTAGGACATGGCCCTCTTGGAAAAGTCCTTTACTCCTTAAGATAGCTGCAAATCCCCAGGGAATCATCTCTGTTTAACCCTTGACCTGAACCCACACCAACGGCAGATGCACTGGGGAACGGGCCAGAGGAACGGGGTGACGGAGAGCTTTCCACACGACCCTTCGTAGGCACAGCCAATGGGTTAGGACCCCGCCATGTTTCCCCCAACAGCTCCTCCTCCCCAGTTCTGCAAGGGCACCTCACCTCCTACTTACACCCTGCATAGTGTGAGCGTGAGTCAGGGCTGTGGTGGAATGAGACCCCCTCTCTCCTACCGGGCTGTGTTGTAGGCCCAGCCTCCCTTCCTGGACACTCAGAATCCAGGGCTGAGGAAATGCTCAGCGCGCTGCCTGGAGATAAGCCCAGAGATTCGAGGACAATCTCCAGGCCCCCTTCTCTCATCCTGGCAGGAAGCTCGTCTGCTCTCATCCAAACCTGGGAAATCCTAGATTATCACTCCAGATGCACAAGGACATACAGAGCTCCAGCCTGGCCCAGCCCTAGCCCACCCCCACCTCAAACCCAGAGATTCTCAAGTCTCCCCGAGCTGGCCCTGCCAGTGCTGGAAACTTTAGAGATAAGCTGCAGAGAAAGAGCAGGTGTCAGGAAGGGGTCCGGGGCAGAGGTCACCCAAGTAAGCCAGCTCTGTTTACTAAGCCTGCGTCAGGGCCCAGACACACTCCCCTCTGCTTGCAGGAGCCACCGAGATAACATTACCCGGCAGCTGGGTCTCAAGAAAGTCTGACAATTAAACATCCTGCTCCTAAACATGTTACTTGGGTTATGTTTCCCGGGTGGAGTTTCCCTTCCTTCTGGATTTCAAAAATGTAGGGATTCAATTTCCTCGTTGCTGGCCGTTCAGGACAGATGGGAGGTGGCTGTGAAGCCTCACCAGAGACCAGCAAGAGCGTCCGGCTCCCCCTGCATCGGCCCAGACCGGGAGACCAGACCGCGCTGTTCCTCTACCTGCTCAGTCAGAAGGCAGGCAAATCCCCACTGCTCCTGCTCAGCACCTGACTGGAACAGCTGCCCACCTGAGGCTACGTGGCACCCGTGCCTTCCCAGCAGGCAATCTGTCCTCCACTAAACATGCTGCTCTCCCCAGGAATACAGCCTTGGAGCAAGCTGGACTCACAACTCAGCTCCAGAGCACAGAGGACAAGTTCCGCCTAGGGGTGTTCGTGGTGGGACAGCGCTGGGACCGACAAACTGAAAATACTTGGCCTGCCCACTCCTAGAAGGCCCAAGAGCTGCCTGTGTTTAAGCTGCGAGCACCAGTCGGTTGAAACCTGCAGCTCCTTTTGTTGGCACTAAGTAGGAGAAGCAAGGAGTTAGGAGCTGTGGAGGGTGCTGTCTCTCTCTAAGGCCCTGTGGCTCCAAGGACTTATCTTCCTTGGGGCTCCTGTCAAGTGAGACCCCGGCCCCAGGCCAAATGGAAACTCAGCAGCAGCCTCCTTTACCTGCCCACACCACCGTGGGGCTGGACCAGCTGGCCGGCCTAACCTACACTTCAGTCCCCAAACTATGTACCCCACCTTGGTGATGCAGCCATGTGAGTAAAGGGCCACCTTGTTCCTCTGAGTGGATTGTCACTGCTTGCTAGGGCCCCTGAGGTCATGGGATCTCCCCCAAATCTTCTGGATCTATGGACCAAGACATATCTAACATTGTGGCTTAATTACTAGGGGCGACAGCCCCAAAAGTTAGAACGAACACGATCCAGCAGCCAGTAACAGGGAGTTTACCTTTGGGGACACGATCCTTACTTCTCTGGCTTCCTGCTGAAGAAGTTCATCACGCCAAGTTCTTCCCCCCAAAATCAATGCCAGCCCACCCAAAATATCAATGAGCTCCACCCTTCCATCCCCAAGGCCCCAGGTGCCTAGTTTTCGGGGAGGGAGGGTGGCAATAAGCCCAAATTTAGCTGGGTTGGTCCTCCAGATTCAGACCAGCCAGTGGGGTAAGGGACCCAGGGCTTCTGCTCCCTACCCCCAGCCAGTGTCCTGCCGCCTCCCCGCAGAGGCCCTCCGAGCCTCACTGTGTTAAAGATGCCTCTGACACCGCCTGGCTGCACCCGGCGCAAGCCCTCTGGGGTTCCCGCCTCTGACCTGGGCCACCCCTTGGCTGCTAATGGTCCTCACTTCATCCTTAGCTCAGAGTGACTCCGTGCCATCTGTCCCCACACAGGCCTGTCAGCCTGCTGGGTACCCTGAGATGGAGACTGGTAAGGAGTTTGCGGCAACAGGAAGCGGCCCCCTTGGACACTGCTCTCCAGCCCACAGGCGAACCCAGTGGTGCAGGGGTAGAATGCAGATACATCAGAATGGGCACAAGGATCTTTGCTAACCCCAAACCTTGTTACCAAAAGCAATAGTTCATGGGCTCTTGGCTGAAGTTTTTGAGCTCAGTGTGCAGACACTCGAGCACCTCACTGCGAGGCCCTATTAAAATTCCAGCTGCTCCTCTGGGTGGTGATTTGCTCTTGGGGGTAGGGAGGGAGGTAGTGGAGCAGATTTGGGGAACAGCCTGCACTTAGCAGCCGGAACTGGGGCACTCTCTGGGCTGCAGGGCTAGTGACCACGGGGGACTCTTCCCGGGCTTCCCTGGACCTGTGCTCCTGGGGCAGTCCCAGTGGGTGCAGCAGGGGTCCCCACAGTGCAGGGGTACAGGACAGGGAGAAGGCTCCGCCCAGAACCACACCCCCAGACCCAGGGGACAGTCTGCACGGAAGCAGACAATCTGTAGGCTGCTACGCTGTACGGAGTGCACAGTGGGCCCACCACAATCGGTGCCTACCTTGGTGTACAGGAGTCATGGGCCGTGGCTGTTTATTCAGCTCGAGGCTGAAGGATAAGCAAGAGGCTGTGCGGGAAGCCTCTGTGTTGCCTGCACCCATGACTCCACACAAGGAGGGCTAATGGCGCGTCCCTGCCTCTGGGGCTGCTGTGAGCATGCAGGGAGTTAACCGGTGATTCTCTATGCAATGAAAGCGGATCCCAGAGTACCAGGCCCACTTACTGTTCCTCAATGGAGGAACAAAGAGCCAGCAAAAGCGGGGGATTTAGCTCAGCGGTTCAGTGGCCTGCCTTGCAAGCACAAGGACCCGAGTTCAATCCCTGGTACAAAAAAAAAAAAGAGCCAGCAAATACCCGAGTGAGTGCTTCCCTGGTACCAGGTTTCAGGTGAGCTAAAGGGAAAGTGAGGTAAAGGCCTCAACCGCCAGGTCCTTGCAGCTCAGTGGGGCTCCCAGACTCACAGGACAAATCAAGTCGGGGGTGGAGCAGTGAGGGTGGAGCAGTGGGGGGACAAGCAGTGCGCCTCAGAAGGGACCAAGGACGACAGCTGAGATGGTCTGGGCAAGCGTCTGAGCCACACTCCTCTGAGCCAGAGTCCCTCAGATGCAGCCTGTGGGTACAATGGATGTGGTCACCGGGAGCTCAGCGCAGAGCTGGGCACAGACAATGTCAGTTGGGTGGACAGGAAGAGGGAGGGAGGGGACGGACTGAATTCCATTTGCCATGAGACTCGGATTGTGACACCATGAACAAGAAGAGAAGGAGAGCAGGAGGTGACAAGTACAGGAACACACACGCACACACACACACACACACACGCACACGTACACGCACACCCAGTGAAGGGTGAGTACTAATAATAAGCCTGGCCTGGGAAAGCAGCAGAGCAAAAAATAACTCTGCTGCCCAGGGCCAGGAAAACAATGACCGCCCCCGGGAGTGTCCACTGAGAGGCTGGAAGCACTGTGGCTGGCTTTTCCAGGCACGGAACCTTCTTCCCTTTTGCTTTTCCCATATTTCCGGGGGCGGAAGTGAGTGTGTAAACCAGGAGTTCCCAGGATTCACAGTCAACCATGGACCTCAGAGAAAGGATCAGCCATCAGGACTGTAGCCTTCGAGTCCCGGAACGCTAAGGGGAAGCAGCCTCAGGGGTTCTTCTCCAACACTTCCCTTGCACGCACAATTGCTTCCCCAAGAATGACCAGAACAATGGCCATGTCCATTTGCAGAGGACTTGCTGAGTTCCAGGCATTGCTAAGTGCTTTATTCAGACTGTTCATTTTTGTGCACAATATTCTAGGAGGAAAGTGTTACTCTTTCCAGCTCAATAAAGAGACTGAGGTAACCTCATCCACCCAAGCAATGGGGCTCTCATCACTCCATGGCTGGACCACTTTGTCCTCTGCGGTGACACCAGACCGCCGGGAATAAGACAGAATCTCTGCCACAACGGTCTACGCTGGCAGCTCCGTCTGCTGCTCTGCCATTTCTCGGGGAGGTGACGTCTTAGTCATTCCTGGAGCTGCGTGAGCCCAACAGAAGGGACGCCTGTGTTGGGACCAGCGCTCCATTCCATCCTTCAGGTGGGTCCTGGTAAGTGAATGCTCCCTTGAGCCCTCCATTCCTCGTCCATAGCAGGGAGGTAATAATTCCCGCTTCACTGGAAATTAACGGGAATACAAGTAAAGTACAAGCCAGTGCCTGGGACACTGCAGATTCTCAATAAACACGACCCCTGTACTCCACTCTGCCACTTCAACATGCCCACCACAGCCGTTTGCACTCTAAGATGCTTAGTTTCTTTCCCTGGAAGATTCTGAGGCAACAGTTAAGCAGTGGGCCTGGAAAGAAATCCGCTTTGCATTTCCAGGGTTTTCGGCAGGGCCCCTCTAGTCCATCCTCCAGAGCACCCACGAGAGTGCGGGTGACATTTGTAC